GCGATCAGTAATCACTTGTGTCGCCTCATGATGGCCAATTTCATGTTGGGACAAAGTTTGTGACAGACGGACAGACAGATGGACAGTGCACAACTAGACTTGGTACTGATCATTCCTGTAAAGTTTGGATGAAATTGCACCAGTAGTTTATGAGGAGTAGTCCGGACAAGCTTTTGTGTATCTGGCAACACACAGAAAAAACACCTTTTTATCGGCCAAAAATCATCCAACTGGAAAACCCGTGCAATATGTGCAAGGACTTGAGCTACAGATCAATCCTGTAAAGTTTCATTGAAATTGCATGAGTGGTATAAGAGAAGTAGACCGGACAAACTTTAAAATTAAAAATTATTAAAGGGCCATAACTCTGACAAAAATCATTGAACCGAAAAATGCTGACAATATGCACAACTAGACTTGGTACTGATCATTCCTGTAAAGTTTGGATGAAATTGCACCAGTAGTTTATTAGGAGTAGTCCGGACAATTTTTGTGACGGACGGACGGACAGACGGACAGACAGACAGACGGACAGACAGACGACGGAGAAGTGATCCCTATATGTCGCCACTACTCCGTAGAGGCGACACAAAAATGTCAGATCCATAGCAAGCATTAAAAACAGCAAAATTACATGAAAATTGCAGTCTTGGTATGAATTAGTCTGTACTTGAGGAATGGAAATGCAACATCTCTCACACTACCTAGCACCGGCTTAAGCGGCACTCAATTCTCAACACTAAAAGGACTCGGTGATCCCGAAGGACCTGAGAAATATAACAACACTGATGTGAAGGACGGGGCAACTTACACAGCACTTGATACCTGCTGTTGTGATGTATAAATATCTGGAAAAATGATCCGTCGGAAGCATTAAAAGCAGTAAATTACATGAAAATTGCAGACTCGGTTTGATTGAGTCTGTACATATACACTTACAAGAGACAATATAATATGTCTGATGAATGTTGATTGAAACTCTCAATATTGTATTATTTGTACTCTTTTTCATTTAATTCATTTCACCAAACCTTTTCGAACAATAAAAGACGTATCTCAGTGGAATATCTCAGTGACGAATTACATAGATCATACTGTGGTTTGTATGTTGCGTATTGTGTTGACACATTCCCTGAGGAAGAATTATCTTGCATTTTCTTTGTATTTTGTATGAAAGTTATTTGAAGTTTGTTGGATATTGACAAAAGTTTGAATATCACAAAAGTACTAAATCTTTCATCTTTTATTTGAAATTTCATGGAATTTACCATAACGTTATATATTTAAGCTTTATTGCGCCGCCATTTATTGGAACACTAATGACTCTGCTAACGGCGGGTATTCCATGGTAGGACCATGTATTACTGTGCTGATGGCGGATATTCCATGGTAGGACCATGCATGACTGTGTTGACGGCGGGTATTCCATGGAAGGACCATGTATGACTGTGCTGATGGCGGGTATTCCATGGTTGGACCATGCATGACTGTGTTGACGGCAGGTTTTCCATAGTAAGACCATGGATGACTCTGCTGTCGACGGGTATTCCATGATAGGACCATCGATGCGTATTCTTTCTATTGACAAGCACTTATCACCATTACGAAACTGCGATAGAGTTTCTTTTGAACTAATGAAGCCTTAATTATTGTTATGTATATGTATTATTCATATATACTGTTTTGTTGACATACTATTCTATATTTCTATTTTTATGTGCTAGAAATATTTATGTCCCAATTATTTTGTCGTATTGTGAAACATCGAAAAAAGTTATTGTTACTGTTTATATTTGAAATCACGAATAATATAAATGTCTCCAGACTTTTATTAAGGGTTAATTTAATACATTGCAGAATGTTGAAGAATTTTCTTTATATGTACGAATACTTAAGCTTTTCTTCATGAGTATCTCTAAGTATTTTGTTTGTTTGGTGTAATTCATGTTAAAGCTTATATTATTTTGGAAGTTTGTTCAATATTCCCCCTTACCCCTTAACTCTCTTCGTGCCAATAGGCACATAAGGCATGGACATTTACCTTCCACATGTTGCGGTCTGAAAATCTAGAAACAAAATGATCCCTCGGAAGCATTACTCATAACAAAATTGCAAGAGAACTGCAGACTCGGTTTGATTGAGTCTGTACATGAGGGATAATGTACAGTGCAACATCCCTCACGCCCTCTAGCACCGGCTTGAGCGGTACTCCAAAGCGGTTCTCAATTCTCAATATTTTCTCAATATGTGGCCAATCCAGTTCTATCTCCTTCTCCTGATCTCTTCACTGTTATATGATTCTGCCATCTCCAGTACAAGTCAGGTTTGGTATGCGCCTGTTGCCATCCGATCTTAAAGATCCTCCTTAGACACTTTGTCTTCTTTTCCTCCGCTTTTGTGAGTTTCCATGGCTCACATCTATATAACAATACGGAGAGGACTAGGCTTTTGAAAAGAGAGACTTTAATCTAACTGCTGATATTATTAGCCTTTCAAATGATGTCTAGCCTCCTGAAGGATGCACCAACCATTGCTATCCTCTTCCTGATGTCGGCTGTGCCTCCGCCATCCTTGGTGACATTGTCGTCCAGGTATGTGAAGTTGTCCACCTCCTTAACTTCGCTGTTTCTGACATTCAGGCTGGCTTTACTGAAGTTTACTCTTACTGTTGACTTCATCACTTTGCATTTCTTGGCATTAAGCTTCAGACCAACCTTGGCTGAGTTGTCTTCCAGCTTAGTTGTCTTGTGTTTTGGAGATGGTTCATAGTGGATGATAGCAGAGCAATGTCATCTGCAAAGTCGAGGTCTTCGTGGTGGTAAAATCCCATCGAATTTTGGTTCGTTCTTCTTTGACTGTCTGCTGCATTACCTAGTCTATTATCAAAAAGAACCAAGAATCCTGACATTCAGCAGCCCTGCTTTACGCCGGTCATAACAGGGAAAGGGGCTGTAGTCTCATTGTCTTCAATCACTATGCATTGGAAGTCATCATATAGTGCTTTAACCATTTGGATCAGTTTATTTGGTATACCATACTTATTCATGATGTTCCAAAGACTGTCTCTTTGCACTGAGTCAAACGCCTTCTCGAAATCAACGCAGTGGATATACATAGTTCAATATTCAGTTACTATTAAACATTTGAAATTTTTAGTTTATAGAAATTAAATTGTATTATATTTTGCTCTTGAAAATAATGTACGTTATTTCTTTAAAATTTGTCAATGGTTATTCTTTCTGTCATACTTTGACAGTAACAAATAGAGATCTTTAGAGAGAGTACACTATCGTGTAAGCGTTGTTAATATAGAGTATGTCAACCAGGACATTATTAAAATATTTTTTATAGTTTGCATGAAATAATTAATGTTTTACTGACATTGGTAAAATTCTTAGTTATTTTACTCACACATTAATGTTTCATGTATACTTGTATAAATTTGTATTAGTATTTGAATTATAAAAAAAAATTCAAATCGTAACAATTTAGTATTATTATATGCATGTTTTTGTTGGTAACAAAGATGTGTTGACACATATCGGATTCATTTAATTATTAACTTCAAATATATAAGAAAAGAAGTTTAAGTGAACCAAACAAATGTTAAACTTTTTATTACATCCGTCTAGTAATTTTCTGAAGATGTCTTTATTACGTTTGTGATATAGCATTTGGTTCAGTTCATACATTTCTTGCAAAGACTTCGCATTATTAAATACGAATTAATACTTTATTGAAAACCCATGTACTCAAGGTCTAACTTTTCATCTGACATAGAGGATCGAACTATATGACATTAAAGCTTAACTAGGTAAAGAATATATGACAGACATGATAAGAGAAACTTTATTCATACAAAGGCAGTATGCCCATCAGTATACAGTAATAATACAATCGGCAGTCACATAACATCAAAGACATAATATAAATCATATAAGATATACACAGAATTGAAACCTGTTCGTTTTTCAATCATTTGATTCATTTATGTTCGTTATGTTTATATACACTTTTGAAAATTATTTTCTAATTGAAGTGTTATTTGTACAATTGTGTTATTAAGGATAGATGTACATGTATAACATTTCTAGTTAAACAACGCATTTATAAATGATCAGTGTATCAGAGTTTCTGAGTACAAAAGAACTTTTTCATAAAGCTATTGCATTTTGTCCAGGGCGTCATTACACAACATATATTGAATGTGTTACGCCTATAAAACAGTTGATCCCAAACAGGTATTTGTGTAAACACAAAACATGCTTCAATTTTATTGATGTAATTCATTGATTTGATTAATTTATAATGAGGCATTATTTTTGCAATTTTATGTACTAATGGCGTATAATGATATATATATTTCTTGTTTTTATTTATAACATTAATATACATGTATGATCATAATATTATCGCTTGTAATGTTAAGGCAATGGTGTTTCATGAATAGCCCAAGATTGAAACTTGTAGATCGTCACGCATCTTGGAAAACTATTGATAACCCATATTTTGAGACGCTAATTAAAAAATGTAATTATTCAAACTTTTGTGCACAAAAAACAATATAATGTTATTATTCAAACTGTGTGCACAAACAAACAACATGTTTATCTGATTTTAATACATAGTATGATCCATTTATAAAAATGATATTCACATTTTCTAAATATGTAACTTTCTCCGACAATTCATTTATATGTCACTGTTCATCATAATGCTATTTTTTATGTGTTGTCCGCAATGGCGGACACGTTGCTTCGTGGAAATTAAGAAATAAAAAACTTGAAAAACATATACTAGTAGTCAAGAGCTATTTAAGAAACTATTTTTTTTTGGCAAATGCTCCACAGAAAATAGCAAGTTTTACTTATTTAATAGGTTCATGGGGTTGCAGCTTGAAACATAAACAGTTTATTGTCCCAATATTTTTTATTAGTGTATACAAAAAGGTTTTTTACATTACGATATATCCTACACCAAAACGCAAACCATAAATCATCTTATAAGGAACAAAACAGTTTTTCTTTTATTTTCACGATTTCATCAGATTTTAAAGTATTTTGTACAAATAGTATTTACATGTATTTTGAAAACGCAATTATAGCATTATTATATTGAAATAGAGAAAATATTAATTAAAGTTCTCGATAATATTCGTGCTGACCGACTTTCGAAAATGTAGCGAACACTCTTGCTTGTGCTCCGCTTCCGTCTTTCAACTTTATAGGCGCCACATATATAGTGGAACCAGTCTCTGGAACTGAATCTAAATTGGCGACATTTTCCAGCCCCGGAACGTTTGCTTCGGCAAGACTCACGTGAACCGGATATGACGTTGAATCTCCGGGATCAGTCGAAGGAGTGTCTGTGCCGACAACACAGACATGTCTTGTTTTTATCAACCAATCCACAGTTTCTGTATGCCAGCCTGGATAATGGAAGGTCGACGGATCCTCTGGAGTCGCGGTGCCAAATGTTAGCGCTTTGTTTGGGTAATTTTTCCCCCATCCAGAGTTCATAATAACGATTGCACATTCAGGAATTTTCTTATGTTTCAACTCCCACGCCATAATGTCGCCAATACTGACTTTGTAATCCGGGTTCCCTTGTACTTTATCCTAAAATAGAAATGTTTTAATTCATAGAATAATGCAGATTCTATAACTGAGAAGTTGACCTTAGACTATGTCATTTTCTTTTTAACAGTGCGTGTGGAATAATGTTTATTATGTACAAGGTCTCAATGTGATAACTTAGCGGTTTTAGAGAAGAAAAGTCTTTGAAATAGAAACGACCTGAGAGTAGATATGAAACTGATTGGACGCACAGTGTCAATACTGTAAAAATATATTAATTTCGTAAATTATTATATTTTTTCTACTAAAGGTGTATCCTCCTAATGATTTTAGATGAAAACCAGTTTCAAAGTTTTCTTCATGAAGAATGAAAAATAGAAGCAGTTTATATACACAAAGGTATGTAACTGCACTTCAGTAATGGTAATCGGCTTATCCAAAGTTTCTTGTCAGTTAAAATTTTATTTTTATTATAATTATATGTTTACAAGATATAATAAAACTTACACAATTTTAACAAAAACAATTGTGTTTAAATTCACTTTTTTAAACAAAATATTATTGTCTTTTCTGAAAACATATAATGTGCTCAATATCATGAAATGTAAAATTGTATTGAGCTATAGGCGTTGTATCTCATGCTTTATGCAATAAACTGTTGAAATAAATTGAATATTAACAAGTGTTGGTTAGCAGTAATCAATTGTTAAACAACATATGGAGTGACAAACTTCAAAATAATCTATTCCGGAGTTCTTTAGCCAGTTAACTGTTCAACCATATTTCCAGGTAAAACACCAAGGAAAACAAAAAACCCTACCTTAACGTCAATTATGACACCGGGTCCTATTAATTTGTCCATTGGAATTTCATGCATTCTCAATTTACCCTCGGCAAAATGGGATGGTGCATCCAGATGGGTCCCACCGTGCTCTCCTGCTTCGAATTTGTTTAGCTCAAACCTTTATAAAAAATATTTAAACTGTCACGATGAACTTCGAAATGTTTAAAAAGGTTTTTCTATAAAGTAAAAAGCTTCGACGAAAATTATTTGTTTTACGAAAATGTGATATCTATACATGAAAATGGAAATAAAAACTGTATTAAGTAACTTTTTATTACAGGTATAAAAGATTCCCTTTTATGTGTTAATTTCGTTTTGGTGTTAATAGTTACGATAACCATTATCATTTTATCAAAAATAGAAATTTACCAATATGCCCCAGTGTTACCGCGACGTAGGATAGTTAAGACAAATGGTGGACTTCCTGGGAAGAACAATGTTTCTGGTCCAAGCTCGTAAGATAGTTCTACTACTTTGACATTTAAAGCTTCAACAAAACTACACACCAGGAAAATGCTGACGATTAAATTTAACTGCATTGTCACTTCAATCTGAAATATGAATTTAATTAGCTAGCAAAGTTTACTTGCCATCCAACATAATTCAACGACAAAGAAATATCTTCAATATTGAAAAAAATGACAAGCATATAAAGATGACCTCGGGTCGAAGTGCGAAGAAACTGAATGTGGTAGAAGTGCCAAGAAACTGAATGTGGCAAAAGCCGAACCTTAATGGGGTTTATGACAGAAACAAGGGAATACTGATTTTTTATTTTCTTTTTATATACATGGAGCAAAATAGATAGTTCAATACCTTTTAAGTACTTTTTGCACCTTGTCTATGAAATCCAATTACTTTGAATAGAATATGTATGATTCGCCATGCTCAGAAGTCGTAGTAGCGGAAGCAGATTCAAATGCCCAACATTTGTTGTATATTTACCGAAAATAGCTGAGTTGATGAAAGTTCCTCAGCCACAAAATAGTAGGTATAAATGCCAACGTCAAAATCACAAAGGTCATTAAATTATAGATACGAGGGTGCATCAATAAATTCGTAAACTAATTCAATAGCGTCAAAACTACTGTCCATTTAAAATGAAACTTTAAATGCTGTGAAAACAGATTATTTCAAATTGAATCGTACTTTTAACACAACTTTGACGTCAACACTTATGACGTCATAAACCGTAAATGACGTCACATTTCTGGCGTCCGTTCGAAAATGGCGTCACACAGCATCAATGAACAGCGCATCCATATAAAATAGAGAAAATAGGAATCCCGAAAGAAAGCCCAAAACAACAAAATTGAAAATGTTGCAGGCTCGGTTTGATTGAGCCTGTTCATGGACGGTACTGTAAAGTGCAAACTACCGTCCACGCCCCCTAGCACCGGCTTAAGCAGAATTCAACATTTAAAAATCAAATAGAAAAATTTTGAATTAAGAAACATACGCAGATGTATTCATACGGCGGTTATCATGGAACCTACAATGTGACACATTCGTGCCATTCCATGAAAAGCGGCGTATGGTCCCTAAGTAATAGAACGCGTGTGCCCTAAACGAGAAAACAAGGGACGGAACTCAATAAAATGGAATTTTGTAAGGGGATCAGAGGTTATGAAGCCTGTATATCACAGATAAGACGTCAAAAGACAAAGTTAAAAAGTAGGCAACATATCGTAAGGGTGATTCAACATTATTTAAGGAGGAATATTGGAACCACACAACTGAAAATGCCGAAAAGTTAAAACTAAAAATACAAGCACAACAATAATGCCGTGCTGAACGATCTTTAAGGATCGGAACTATAACATCTCTGATTGAATGTAAGGGGCGACTTTTTACAGCCTCCACACGGCACAAACAACGCTAAAGTGTGGCGATAAAAAAGAGAAAATTACAATCCCTTGGAAAGTCCAAAACGCAAAAAGTTTTACACAAAACTCGGAAAGTCTTTTTCCGATATTCCTGAAGATTTGCAAAAAGTTTACGGAGAGGCTGCTCTGTCAAAAGTTGCCATTCCAAAGTTGATGAAGCGGTTTAAAGACGGTAGAGAGGCAACTGAAGACGACAGTCGTACAGGTAGGCCAGTGACTGTGACAGATGAAGAGACAGTGGCTGCCATTCAGGAGTACATACTCCGAGATAGAAGAGTATGTGTGGAGCACGTAGCAGATAAGTTCGCTATTTCATATTATGGAACGCCATAGCTGCCTCATGTTTTTACATTTCTTTTTATCTTGCCCAGAAAGCGTCTTATTATGTCAAATATAAGCGTTGTAATGCCATTGTAATTTGTCGACTTGTCTAAACATTGCCTTATTATGCGTAACAGTAGTCTTATCTCTTTAAAATGTGATGTTGACTTGTGTTAACATTGTTTGATTTTTTCAAACAATAGTGTTATCATGTCTAAATGTCGTTTTGGCGTGTCTGAACTGTGTCATATTATGTCACCTTGTCGCGCTATTTGGTCAAATTGTGGAGCTGTTTTATCAAAAGACTGTCTGATCATTTGAAACAGTAGTGTTCTCTTGTCGTTATTTGGTGTTGACTTGTGAAAGCACAGCTTTATTTTATCAAACTGCCATGTTATTTTGTCTAAATACGGTGTTTAAATGCCTTAACATTGTCTTATTGTGTCAAACAACTGTGTTAATTTGCCAACGTACACTACTGAGTTGTCTTTTTATATCAAATATTCGAATTATCTTGCCGAAATGGAGAGTTGACTGGCTAAATCATGCCTTATTATGATAAACTGTATGCTATTTTATCAAAAAGCGGTTTTGAATGGTTAAAACTCAGTCTTATAAAGTCAAAAAAATGCGGTATCTTGTCGAAATGTGGTAAAGACGTGTCTAAACTCTTTCTTATATTGTAAAACAGAAGTGTTATATTGTCGAAATTTGATGTTTTCTTGTAAAACACAGAAATAGTCTTATTGTGTCTGAAAATTGTGTACATTTGTTCAAATTTAGTCCTGTCTTGAGAAAGCGCTGTCTGTTTTTGCGAAACTGTCCCATTATCTTTTTTTGCTCTATCTGTTCATGCTCCGCGCGGGCTCTGGTCACGTGATACTAAATTTTGACAACATCGCATCTGGACAGGATAACACGATTATCTGACATAATGAGACGATATTTAGACATTTTAACGTCATAAACTGGCAAGTTAACGCCACTGTACTACATAATGATACTGTGTTTCAACAAGTAAACACCAAATTTGAAAAGGAAAAGTGATATTTCGCCATAAAAGGACGATGTTTATTAAGATAAACACCGAACCTTGACAAAATAAAATCACACTGTGTCAAAAAGACAGTATTTTAGACAAGTCATCACCACGTTTCGACAAGATGACATGACTATTTGACATAATAAGACAAATATAGACAAGTTGAATCTGCATTTGGACACAATAGCATGAAAGTTTGACAAATTAAAATAGCCTTTTAACAGTTCATAACCATAATTTGTAAAGATACCACCATTATTTCACATAATAAGACGGTGTTTAGGCTGGTTAAAATAAAGGTTGGATAAAATGGCACGGCGATCTGAGAAAATAAGGCAGTGTTTAGACATGTCAATACCATCTTTCGACAAGTCAACAATACTGTTTGACATAATAAAATAACGTTTACACAAACAAACACAATTTATTGGCAAGTCAACATTAGTATTTCACATAATAAGTATATTTTTAGATAGGATAACAACAGTTTTAGACAAGAAAGCAAGATGTTTTGGCATAATAAGACAGAATAACACCACCTCATACTAAGCAACATAACAGTTTGACAAAACAGGACAGCGCTCAGCCAGGTCAATATAATGGTTGAACAAGATATCACTACTAGCCGACATAATAAGACATGAGTTTGACAAGTTGACACCAAGTTCCGACAAGATAACACTACTGTTTCACATAATAAGACAATTTCTAGACAAATTACCACCACAGTTGGACAAGACAGCATGCTATTTTGACATAAAAGACATTCTCTTAGCAAGATAACACCGAATTTGAACACAATGACATGGCAGTCTGACAAAATGTGACGGTGTTTAGACAAGTCAATACCACATTTGGACAAGACAAAACGACAGTATAACATAATACAACAGTGTCATAACATACCAGGATCACATTTGGACAAGATGACACCAACTTCCGACAAGATAACACTACTGTTTCACATGATAAGACAATTTCAAGACAATTCAACACCACATTTAAACAAGTCTGTGTTCAGACATATTGAAATCTTAATTCGAAAAGATGGCGTGCATGTTAGACATATTAAGACTTCCATTCGGCATGTTAACACCGGATTTGCACATGATAACATGAATTTTTGAAATAATAAGACAGTATTTAGACAAGTTAGCACTAAGTTTTGACAAGAGAAATGAATATTTGACCTAATAAGACTTCGTTAAGACAGGTTCTCATAAAACGTTGGCAAGCCAACACTTCTATTATACATAATAAGTCGCTTTTAGGGGAAAATAAAACGAAATATAACAACATGAGGCAGCTATGGCGTTCCATATCATATGGTACAGCTCAGGGCATTATGACTGATAGACTAGGAATGTGCCGCGTTTCAGCAAGATGGGTGCCTCGTTTGTTGACGTAGGAGCAGATGGGAATAAGGGTGAAAATGTTATGGCCATTATATTCTGTGATACATACGGTGTAGTGCTAAACCACTTTGTTCCTCCGAAAACGACAGTCACTGGGAATTAATATGCAACATAATTTAGAACGAAACTCATGGCGGCAATAAGGAGAAAGCGCCCGAATCTATTTAGGTCCGAAATCTTATTATATCACGCAACGTGCCGAGCCATTCAAGCCACGTTGTCATGGATACACTGAAAAAACTCGACGTCGAACTGTTACCACCCTACAGCTCGGACCTAGCAATTTGTGACTTCTGTTTTTTTCCAACTTTAAAAAACAGTCTTCGTGTTACGAAATTTGAGTCAAGAGAGGAACTGAGGTGTGCCGTGGTAGACAGCTGCGGGAGATGTCACGTGACGGGCTACAACACGTTTTCGAGTCATGGGTCCAGAGATGGGACAAGTGCAAAATTGTGCATGGGACGTTACTTTGAGAAGGAGTAATCATTTAAGGTACTTAAATTAAATCATTTCCCCGCTATTGAATTAGTTTACGAAATTATTGATGCACCCTCGTATACTAACTTAAAACTGAAGAAAATGACTCCTAAGGACACCTTAACCCCACAACCTACCAATTTAAAATGAAAATAAAAATATATGTTTAATAATAACAGGAGGTAGTGGCTAGGGAATGTATATTAATTCTTTAAATATGGTCAGTGAGGAAAGGTTCCGGAACAAAGATCCACATGGCTTTAATAGTGTTTATATATTTTTCGAGGGAGAACAATCAAATATACCCTAGGTCATTTTCTAGTTACCAGCCACCACGTAAAATCTTAGGACTATAGGTCAACGCATTTTTAAGTTATTGGTTTGACCTTCAGTTTGGCCTAATTATAAAGAAAAACCAATAGAGGCAAACTATAAGTCATGACCAACCTCCACACAGAATGTTAAGACTCTTGATCACAGTGACCTTAATTTATTGACCTCAAAATCAATTGGAGTCATCAACTAGTCATGATCAACCTACACACCATATCGTAGGACAGTTGACATAATAGTCTGGTCAGACATTCTTTCAATGGTTGACATGGTCGACAATGTCCCCAAAATTAATAGAGGATCATCTATTGGCCATGAGCAACATCCCATCCAAGTTACATTAAGAAAGGTTTATTCCTAGGCAAGCTATTGACAGAACAAGTAAGAGCTGACGTACATGCAGGTGGACAGATATGCAGTCAAATGCAATTACTGTATGCACGAATGTATAAAACTGGGACATAAAATGTATGCCTTTATAATAATTGTTCATTGATAAATTTCCCCAAAACACGTCAGTGTGCCGTTTTGTGTGATATGCATACACAGTTTTTAAGTGAAAGATCCATGAATGGTGCCATTTCCGTTGTTATTTACTGTATGTACTACGTTTTTTTTTTGCTAAGGACCCTTCACCAACACAGCTATTGTCAGTAAATATAAGACAAATGTTGGGCGTTTGAATCTGCTTCCACTACTAGGATTTCTCTGAATAGGAATATCCAAATGATAAACAATGTAACTCTATTGTTCTAATCAATATTTAAAATACTGATGGAAAATGTTCTCATTATAGACCAAGCCACATTAACCGACATCCCTGTTATTTACATTATAAATGATAAGATGCATATAAAACTGGACCAGAATGCTTTCCTATGTGGCATATTTCCAATGACAAATTCACAGTAACTAGATCAAATGCACTTTTATGTTGTAGCAAATAGATATACCACAATAATAGACATGTATAAATTAAGTTTGATTGAATAAGACATTTCAGTTCTTTAGACAATAGCATGTTTTGCTTAGTATTATTGTTTAGACAGATTTTTAACAGTTCTGTAAGATTGCAAAACGTTTTTGTTCAGTCTTACATACCAGAAGGTAGTGCAAAAAGCTAATCTCCTCGCATATTTTCAGCAATTATTATATTGTTCCCAAGTATGTTCAGGTATAAATACATGTACCATGTATGCCACACAGCATTACATGCACAGTTCCTTTTCTTACCAGCTATACGTCAATATACAATTAGAAATTGTTACAGCTCATCGCTACTTCCTAATTATTTTGTTCATGATATTCAAATTAAAAAATTAATTGTTTAATGTTATATAAAGAATGTAAAAACACAAAAACGTTGTTACATAACAATTTTTGCTCAACATTGAAACGTTTTATAAGGAATTTCCACTCTACAATAATAAACACGGTTATCTGCTCATGCAAGTGAACTATATATATCAAAGATATAAATTCATGAATAAAGACTGTTTCAAAAGATTGAAACTTTTATTTTAAGCCTCGATAGCTTTGACCTCAGTGACTACAAAACTCTTCTACAGAAGAAGTCAATGCAAGGTTAAGTTATATCAAATATTTAAAAACATCTGTCTCTTATTTAAATTTCTTATTTAAGCCTAGTGAGAGAAATATCTTATAATGGTGCCGATTCGATCTTAACACCACCATTTTTTGTGTGTTGTACACTTCTCTAATGATTGTTGACGGCTTCCATAAAGAAGAAACTCAGTCTATATGTTATTCATTTTCAACATGTTTCCGTTCATCCAATCATTTATGTCGACGGCAGAATTTTCGATGTCTTGAACTGCAGTCTGATAGTGGTCTGAAACATTTTTAAGTCGTGTGGACATCGGCAAATCCAAACACGAGAAAAGATAGAGACACAATACCGCCCAATTATAGATCAAGTAGCGCCAAGGATCCAAAACCTTACTTGGAGGGCACTGCGTCATCTTAAGTAAATGTCCGCTTATCTCAAGGCGGAGTCACAAATTGCATACTAGAATTTGAGAACATCAAGTAAAATGCCTTGGTCAACATTGTGAAATGCAGCACTCAAATAAAAAGCAAACATTGAATATCTTATATATCATGTAACTAAGGACACTTACAGGTCTTCATGGCGTTTTTATACATTTATATATTTCCGAGAAAATAAAATTTAAGATTACATAGAGGATATTTGTTTGTTTGTGTGTAAGATGAAATTTTATTACATCGAGTGGGCTTTAAAAACAGTATTCTCGAGATGAAATAAAATTACATCTTACACAACAAACAAACAAATTTTCTTTTTATTTTATGCTTAAAAACAAGTTAAAACAAAATTTCCATAATATTAACGTTAATATTAAAATCTGTTTTCCCCATTGAGAGCCCCATTTAGTCGGAATTTCTCATTAAAAACAAGAAGTATTGAGCTGAAAAATAAGTTCGGCAATCAACGTTAAATGACTGTGATATTATTCATTTTATTAAAAAAATATGAATGTTCGCTTGTTTTAATAATAAAAAAAAATTATTGTAGGAATTCTGTTACTTACTGCGAATTTATAATAGACCTGGCTTTGTTAAATGTAAGCGGCAGCCATTTTTTAACGTTGTGTATTTCACGGGAGGAAAATAATTGTGTTTGATTCAGAGGGATATCATTTGGATTTGTTAGTCATACACCTTTTTAAAAGAAATAAAACTTATTTGAGGATTGTAACAGACAAAAAATAAGTGTTGACGGATGTAAAAACATTCAAAAAACAGCTAGGAAAATGGAAAACTTGGAAGCTGGCTCAGGAACGCTGGGTTGTTTACTTATTCTTCGGCTGATGGCTGTCATTGCTTTTCAATTTTTCATGAAGCATACGGCAGTTGTTGCTCGTAGGATACGGGTACTTTAATCTGCCCAAATACATCAAGAGCAGTTTTGCATGTGGAAGGAATGTATTTTTCAGACTGTAAAAATGAAACAAAAAAAATAGAGACGAAATTTGGTGATTGGAATTTGAATGAATAGAAGTAAGTTTTCTTCTTTTTATTACTTTTGACATTTTAAGTTATTTATCAATTTAAGCTTTGCTTTTTCTTTAAACAGCCTGACATTGTCAGAATTGTCAGTAAAAATAAAATTGAGGTACCACATGGGGAAAATCTTAAAAAGTAGTTTCGTCATTGAAAAGTGTGAAATTATATTTAGATAATTTTCACTGTGAAATTATCAAATATAATTTTCACGAATAAATCAGTAATCCACTGAAAAGTATAAAATAAAAGGACGTAATTGCCTAGTATTTTTAACTGGATATCAAATGATGATGGTACGACCAACTCGAGTTTTTTAAAACAGGAAAAAGAAAATATCAAGTATGTCATACAGGATTACCTACTCAGTTATTTCTTACGAGCTGTACGTCAAAATATTTTAACTCCAGGAAGTTGAAGCAGCTCAGCACTATTTTTATTTGTCCGGGAAATTCCATTACTAGAACTCAAATGTTTAATTTTATATCACAATTTTGTTTTTCAACTTTAAAAGGTTCTTGTATAAGAAACTGATGTTCTGTCAAAAGAAACACACGTATCTGTTCATGAATCACACTAATTTTTTTTAACGCAGATCAGTTTAACATTGAAAAAAATAAACAAAAATATTTGATATATTTCAACTGCTGATTATTACCAAATCAGCTTTTGAAGACACAACACCTGTATTATTATCATTGTCACCTAAACATTCGAATTGTTGCTTTCAACTGATTGGAGGAAAGAAAGCAAATGGTTATCAGAAATTGTTTCTACGTGTGTTTATAAAAACGGCTGGCACATTTACTTGGTTGCAACGATCGCAGGTATTTATGTGCATAAAAGTGCAAACACGACATGCAGTCTTCAATCTGGGTAAAATATTGCACACCTACATTCTATATATATATATCTCATGTATATACTGTATTGTAGAGAAACGGCTTAACCTGTTTAACCATACGGTGAATTTTAAGTGTTTGGAACAAAATACTCACTTGAAATTTCTCATGTTATTAGATACAAAATATTTAATTCGACGGCCAATTCGTCAATGAAGTATGGCTGCTTTGGGTAGGATTAATTCCGTAAATGTATACATCTAAATTGATTACCTTAGCTTTAAAATAAACAGTTTTTGAAAGTTAGCACCAAATACCATCGAAAGAAAGGGAGTCATCTATGTGTCCATTCATATGAAATTTTGGTTCAATCCCGTTAATTTGTGCTTTGACGAAAAAAAATCTTTTTTTTTTCATGACTTAAAATATTTGGTATTGATTAAAATCATAAATACGAGGTGAATGTGTAATGTAATCGACATAATAAATTTAACAAAAAATCAAATATTTTACATTTTTTTTATTTCACCCTATGAAATAATCACTTTGTATTTATGAATGTTTTCGTCAGTATCAATAAATTAATGACTCGTGCTAATATCCTCCTCAAAACAGTTGCATAAGGTATTTCATTATTTCCATGAAAATTACGAATATCATCAATAAGAATTACGGGTCCTTATGGACACTGATAAGAATAAATTTTTCATAACATTTCATTTTACCTAGATAGTATCAGATATTTTTTTTTCAAATATTAGACAGTTTCATCATCCGATTTTTTATTATATTATTATTTTAAGTGTGTCACCCCATCTTTGAAGTTTTGATAAAATTTCAATCACCATATGGCATATTTAGATGAATTATTTTTGCATAAGAAACATGTTTTTGTGTGTATAAATTGTCTATGTCTTTGTTTTTATTTTGGACCTATACACTTTACAAAGTGACTGTAAGTAACATGTTCTAAAAATATAAAACAAATAGTTATTCCAAAAAAAAAAAATTGTAAATTTAACTTAATTAGGAAAAAAATGTTTAAAAAAGGAGTCACTCCAGCAAACTAGAAAAACGTTTGAAATTGAATACAGGCGAATATATTCTTAGTTAAGAAAAGTATGAAGTATGGTCTTAAAATAAATCTGACTCTGCCGAAAAAAGAACTTCAACAAACAAACGAAATGAAAAATATGGAGGAATGGGGGAACATTTGTAATGTTTTCGTGTTTACAATGTTTCCATGTTTTTCATCTGTGTACAATATTCTAAACGTAGTTGAGATAAAAAAAAAAGTACAATACATGGGTTTTTTTTGTATATTGCTGGCGTCATTCATTCTTCTAAACGTTTTGCATGCTTTTACATGTATTCATATTAATGCATTGCAGTTAATGAAGAGTGAGAGGAAAGTGACATTCAGACGATAGGCGTGATGATGTATCTTTCATCATATAGGTTAATACACAATCATTTATAAATTCTGTATTAACATGGAACACTCACGTGCAATGGCTGGAACCTAACCGTCGAAAAAAGTCACTGTAGAACAATCCGATGAATGGCAAAAACATTTCCTAGCAAGAGACAAGAAAGCGTCTTACAAAGATAAAACCTATTTCATTATTAAAGGGGCTACACTGAGGTCTGACGGGTAATTTGGTGTCCAAAAAAAATGTATACAAATTTCCCCACAAATCACAATATTATGACTAAAATAACAATAACTTACACTTTAACCAACCCTCTAACAACAATTATGCTAGAAAATGCATATTCACATTAGCTTTTGATGCAAAAATGAAAGTTGGTTTTCCCAGACATGTACAGAAGTTACCCACAATTCATCGGGTATAACTAAAATACGCAACGGACATTTTTGGAATAACAGAGTAAACGGGGGTAAAAAAGTCTATTGATTTTTTCTCAACTCTCTAACCTATCATGTTTATATAACTTGAGTATAACGAAGAAAAACTGTATAAAAGATAATCAAGGTAGCAATTTCGTAGTCTTGAAAAATCAAACGCCAGCGAAGCGGTCATTTTCTAGACAAAACGGAAAGATATTATATACATGTACAATTATTTTCATTGACATTTCAGTTTCAATTTTAATATTCTAAGGCAAACATAATGCATCGGTGATATTTATACTAAAACGAGCACAGTGTAATCACACTAATAAAAGTATTTAACGCTATCTATAACGTATTTAAATCAAATACAGTTAATGACATGTCTCATTTGATTTGATTGTTTGTATTTGGGATAGAGTGGGGGTTACGTCACACACAACTTTGTAGGTCATGTTGGCGACTCTTCAGTTTTACTGGTGGAGTAAGAACTCAGGTGCCCCATTTGCAAAATTGTTTCTGGCACAAACGGGCATCTGTGTATGTAATGAGTGACGTTTCGTAGGCTATCTTGATATGATCGTACATACACGTTCCACACACAATTACATCATATTCATACCATAGGCAAAATTAAATGCACGTTTCCTATTGTAACAATATGAAACCCCAGAAAAAAAACCTATGAACTAGCTTTTGAATGTGGCATTTCTATCGTTATTCCATAAAAGCACCCCCCCCCCAAAAAAAAAAAAGAATGAATACATCAATGGGCATGCTCTGGAGTGTTGGTATTTATTACCTGCACTCCACTCCAGTTACGCACTGTGCATGTATATGAATTCGATTTAACTCTGACACGTTTTCAACAAAAAAGTCTTCAAACTATGATACAATAAATGTTTATGATTCTATTAGAAACTTGTTTAGAATTTAATGATTTTTTGGTGAAAACGATATAGTTTACTTGTACTACAGATAAGATCAAAGTGCTGAAGGCACTGAAGAAAAAAACGGATAAACTATCACATTTTCACTCCAGTTTCACAGGTAAATTAATTTTATATGTCGCGGTTTACATCTAAATATCAGCTAACCTTTGCTTTTTGAGACTTCTGTTTTTGAAAATAATCTAAACGAGTAAAATAAATCCTCTTTTATAGGCAAATAATTTAATAAGTAGCATCCCCGATTTCTCTTTCATAAATTGGCTTTAGCAAATTCTTTTCTATTCAAATATTAAGAACATTCTGTCAGTGACGTGTCCTCTACTTGAAATCTTCCTGGTGTGTTTTTTTCGGTAACAGGAAGAAAATGACAGTCTGTTCGTATCATTCGGTAACAGGAAGAAAATGACAGTCTGTTCATTTGATCTTGACTGTGAAAAATCATGTTTTGTGAACCAATTTATCCTGCCGATAAAGATTTTGCAAGCAATCTGGTGGTTTATGTTCTAGTGCTTACACTTAATTTTTAATTCCAAAGAACATTTCTTAGGAGACCTTTAACGTTTGATTACAGTATAATCACTATAATCGAAATACTTAGGAATTAATTTTAATTCCTGTTACTGTGAAATTTTTCGTTCACGTGTTTAAAATACTTAAGTAGCTCTAAAATTTTCAAAACGATATCCAGTATTTCCGAAACAATTTACAAAGGCTTTTAATACACAATCTTATGAATCTTAAAGTATTACGAGAACCACCCATTTAATCTCCAGAAATACATACGAAAAAAACAAGATAAATCAAAAGGCTGCAAGCTCTGTGGTATTTTCTGATCTTTGCAATATAAATCGCACTGTACAACTGTATTATTTTCCTGTATAAGTTTATTTTTATGTACTATAATTCTTCTTGCTTGGTACCAGAGTTTGAAACATTTTGCATGACTAGAGTTGCATCAAAAATCATTTATGTTCATTTTTATGACAGCCACACTTTATCCTTGCATATCGTGGCTATTTCCTTAACAAAAAAACTTTATAAAAATAATTGCCTTGAATTGGATTTGAACCCCAGACACACTAAACGAGCGCGTTACCCTTGCACCACGGAGAAGATATACGAACAATGCCTGAATAAAATCAAGTAATACTAAATTTAGATTTTTCACTGCATTTCGGGTTAATTTCGAGGTTTTTTGTTCAAGATAAACCTGTTCTTTAACATTGATGTAAATAATTTAACAAAAATATTCTCGCCAAAACAGTCCGACATGTATATATTCCACTACTCGACAGTCAGATTTATTTGTGAAATAAGCTCTCGACATCGCTTAAAATAGCATTTTCATTGATTAAAATGATATTCATCCGCGTAATTTGTGAATGTGCATTCATTGACAATTCTATAAGCCAAAGCTACTTTTTAACTTTGAATGCGTTGTAATTTGTTGGATACTTATAACAAAATGAAAAAAATTCTTTCTTTTAAATCGGTAGTTTTCAGGTGTTTTAAGAACTGTTTGTTGTTAGATTTGTCGTGAAACCGCTGTGTCAGAGATTGAATGTTTGCTTTGTATTTCCTAATCTTCGATCAGAAATACAAAAAGGAATGGTAACATTCAATGAATACAACACCCACACGACCAAGCAAAACAGGACCACAGCTAAATTATCAATGAAAACATTAATTTCAGGCTTTCAAGTGGTAAATAAAAAGAATAAACAACAAAAATGAAAAACAGGAAGAAAGAAGAGACAAAAGTAGAGAAAAGTAAAGGTTTTCGTGCTATAAAGAAAGAAAAGCAGCGTTCTCTCCCTAACTTATTTATGCAATGAAATGCATCCGATCAATATTTAGCCATTGTAGTTTTTGAAACCAGTCACTCGTGTTTTCAAAATAGTCGGGAAATGAACCCGACTTTTTTTTATCAAAACATTTACAAAACTATTAACAATGAATATGCCATG